AAAAAATAGAGGGACGATTCTGTCTGACTAATGTCCTCTATTTCCTCCCAGCAGCCTGACTCAGTCCACAAAATTCATTGGCTGGCTAGGACCCTTAGGGCTTAACAGTTTGGCTTGGATCGACTCCCTGTTCCTCCTTTCTCCTTTCGAACCATCTGTGCCAGCAGACACATCACTGCCCCAGATAATGTGTTTATGTAGGAGAAACTTTCTACTTCTTGCTGTTCAGCTGTGTCCTAGTCTTTGTGACCCCGTTCAGGGTTTTCTTGGCAAAGATACTGGAGTGGTTTGCCATTTCCTTCTCCAGCTCATTTTACAGATGAGGAACTGAAGCAAATTGGGTTAAGTGATTCGCCCAGGGTCACATGGCTATTAAGTGTATGAAGCTAGATTTGAATTCAGGAAGATAAATCTTTCTGACTCCAAGGCCAGCATTCTATCCACTGCAGTTTATTACTGAACTTCCTTGAAAACCCCAAAATGGCACCTGATACCTCTTGGTTGGGTTGTGAGCAATGGGGTTAAAGAAACAGCAGTTAGGACAGCATATCAAAGTTGGGACTGGACCTTAGAATTATAGGCCATAAACTATCACATCTGGGGGGCAGCTAGATGGCGCAGTGGATAGAGCACCAGGAGTTCAAATCCAGCCTCAGACATATGATACTCACTAGCTATGTGACCCTGGGCAAATCACAGCTGGGAGGGATCTTTTAGAAAACTGTAACATGTCAGAATTTCGATTCAGTTTAGTATACAGAAAAAGCCTGGGGAAGGAGACCTGGACAAGAGATCTGGGTTCCAGTGTGGCAAAGACTTTTACTATACCAACTACACAAAGTGTTGGGTTTTCAGGAAAAGCAATTTTAGACATTAAAGTACCAAATGTCAGCTACGATTATGTGACAGGTGGGGCATTTAAGGTCCAAAGAGGACATGTGCTTTGTCCAGTCAATGGCCCATTAAGAAGACAAATATCCTAATTTCTAGACCAGGGCTCTTCCTAATATATTGTACCACCTCACTAATCAATGAATAAGCAGATCTGTCTGTATCTCTAGTCTCCAAAAGGCAGTTGTTTGTTATTTTTAAACTTTTAAAATGTGCTTCACTATAATTTACTATAACATTACTATTTCCTATTGGGGTACAGCATGAAGTTCCCAGAGCACATTAGTTCTTCTGATCTTACCAGCAGCCCTTGCTTATATGTGGAAATAAAAATCCACCTTCTACCAAAAGGACAGATGAGAAAACTGAAGGCCAAAGAAAGGTGATTTGTCCAAGGATCACAAAGCAAAACTTAGTGGTACATCAGGAACTGGTCCCTGGTGTCCAAATCTTCTTCAATTTTCCAAGTTCTCCCCTGGGCTGTGCAGGGAATTATGGGATGTGGATTCTAGCCCTGCCTCAAGACATCAATTAGCTATGCAACTTAAAACAAGACAAAGTCATGTAAGAGCTGATGTGGATCTATAAAGGATGTATACTTACTGAAAACAGCAGTAAGACTTTGCGGGGACACCTTGTATAGTAAGGTAACATGAAAACCAGTTTATATCCACTGTCTCATTTGGTTTTTACAACCCTGAGTGGGCACTACAGGTAATATTCTCCCCCCTCCATAGTATTTTATTTTTTGTAATTACATGTAAAGATCCTTTTCAACATTCACTTTTGTTAAGATTTTGAGTTACAAACTTTTTTTCTCCCTCCCTCCCCAAGATGGCAAGCAATCTAAACATGTAATATTATTTTCATTTTAAAGATGAGGAAACTTGAAGCTCAGGGAAGAAACCTACCTATCATGATGATACAGCCAAATAAGTGTCAGAGGTGGCATTTGAATCCAAGTCTCTCAGACTCTTGAGTCTAATTTCTGTATTTGCTATGCCACTCTCTTCTTCCTTCAACAGTTCAAAAGGCCAAGCTATATATACTGGGTATTATAGAACAAACAAGATAAAAACAGTTTACCCTACTTTCCTACTGCCCTCATCTCCACTACTGGCTGTCTTCACTAGCCATGAGGACCACTCTTGGTTATCCCTACCACCTCATCTCCACCCCTGGTCGTCTTCTCTTGGCCAGTGAAACTGACAAGTGCCATGAGCTGTGAGGCCCCAGAGTCCCAAGAAACATTTTGACCATCTGATATATGGCACTCTGGGGATCCAGAGGCGGAGAGTGTTTCTGGTAAAGAACAAGCCATGTGGCTGAGCTGATGAAAAGGGGTGCTTGCTGTCACTGTAGAACAAGGGCCAAAAACCAGGCTGAACAAATGCCAGAAAGTGGAAGGAGACAACTCCCCACTCTCTCTCTTTGAAGGCAAAACTCACTGCTAAATCAATGCTTGGTCTGTGGTTCACCAAGGAGGCGGCTGGAAAAAGAAGAACAAATTCTGAAAGACATAATAAGGTCACTGTCCAAAGCTTGGAGCAAATACCAGCCTGGACTGAGAGGCTCCATGGCTCTCCTGCAAAGACTCTAAATCCTGGCTTCGTCTGTCAATCCTTCCCTGTTCCTGATGCAAATATAATTTGCTTTCTTTAAATAAGATATAATGCTAACTTCAAAATGTCAGGGTTGAAAAGAGGCTGATTAGGAGAGGATGGGTGTGACCTTACATAGCCCCCTTTCATGTCCCAGGTAAAAAAGTCACCTCTAAGATACTTTTCAATTCTAAATCCTATGATACTGGTCATTTTATTTAACTTCTTTTTCCTTGCCTCCCTTCCTTCTGCCTTCCTACTCACTCTGGCTGCAAATGTTTGAAGTCATAAATTCTTAAGAGAGGGAAAAATGGACATTTCTTGATTTTTAAGTTAAAGCCTGACAGAGTTGTTTCTTCAATTTATGTAGGGGAGGAGAAGGGGCTGGTTTTTTGGGGGCGGGCGGGACGGGGATGGAGGGGTCGGACACTAAAACAAAACTTGACTAAGTATGTATGTTGAAAGTTCTGGAGCCAGAGACCTCACTCAGTTACAGTTAAGAAACCTGAAGACAGGAAGTTATTTATTCATGTGATTTGCAGTCGGAAACTCCAGCCTCTTCCCCCTCCCCCCATCCCTAAGCTTGAAAACCCTTTTGAACCAGACACTCCTGAAGGCTTGATTTCACTGGGTCCTTTGACTAACACTGCCCCCCCTCCCCCAAACCTCAGTGGGATGAGAAGCTGCTATGATTATGGAAGCATACCATTTCAGAAAACTTAGGGAGAAAGCTATTGATGGTATAGGGACAAGGGTTCACTCCATTTTCCAAGAAGTCATTCGTTGGGCCTCAAGCAACTTCCTAAAGACTAGCTACAAAGTTAAGAGAGGGGAGGGAAAGTTCTCACAAAGGCATCCAGAAGTTAAATATTTGGTGGCCACCTAAAAGACTCTAATTGTGATGAAGGTTAAAATTCAACCTTGTGTGTGGTCTTCCCACATTCAAAAGCCTTAGAATTTTCTAGACCAGTCCCCTCATTCCACTGGAAGAAAAATGAGACAGGGAGAGAAGAATTTAAATTAAGCTACACTGTGTCTAAGAGGCCCTGAAAAGAGAGGGAGCCCCCGCCTCACTGACCTCATTTATCGCCCCTCCCAAGTAAAATTAAGAACAGGGACAAACTCGCAGTGGGGAAATGGGGTTTTAAGGAGATGGGGGTCGTGGTGAAGTGGGAGAGAGTGAGACTTGTTTACCCAACCCTAGGATCTAAGCCTGGGGGAAAGGAGAAGCTCCCATAGGTGTTACCCAAATGCTTCAGGCCAACAAAAGGAAGAAGGATCCGATGAGGGAGACAGGGGCCGGAGGACCGCCCTCCCCTTTCCCCAGCCCCCAGCAATGCAAAGGCCCACCAGTGAACCCGGTTCCACCCCAGGCAGGGATTGGATTCGAGACTGGGGTGAGAGGAGGGGCAGTCCCGGGCTCCAGGCTCGGGCTAGCCCGACCCCAAGCTGAGGATGCTCGGAATGCAGGGGGGAGGGGGCGAGGCGCTGCGGCTGCTGGTGCTAGCGCAGCCGCCTCCCCCAGCAGCCTATTGTTCGCCGCGAGCTCCCGGCTCCCGCCCGCGCCAAGACCCGAGTCCCGCCCCGGAGCCCCGGGCTGGGTGAAGCCCGTGCACGCTTGCAGCTCACCCCAACCCTAGCAAGCCCGGAGTGGGGTGCACGTGGAGGCCCCCTCGCATCCCGGGGAATGCACACACCCATTCCCCCAAACTCCCCCCCGCCCCCACCAGGTTGTACGCCGCTGCGTACGCTGGCCTCAGCTCCCCTACTCACCCCCCCTACTCACCCCCAACGCATCCAGCCAAGAAGTCGAGCGCCATCGCCGGCCTCTCCCGGTGCCAGGTGCAGCGCCTTCTCCTCCGGGCCAGCCCCCGGGCCGCCTCCCACCCGCGGCTCCCTGATCCGCCCGCCCCACCCGCCCGGCTCCGGGTGCTGCGCTTGCCAAAAGCTGGGGAGCAGGAGATGCACCGCCTAAGCCCCGAGCCGCCCTCCCCCCAGCCCCAGGGAGAGCCTCGGCTCGCTCCTTCCTTGCTGCGCGACGGGGCTGCGCGCTCCCTCGGCTGCTCCGGCGTTAGCAGCAGCGGCAGCAACAGCAGCGAGCACCGCCCGCCTTCCCGGCCCGGCCCTGCCCCGCGCGCCCTGCCCAGCCCCCGGTGCGCCCTGCTCAGCTCGCGCCGGTTTCTGATTCTCAACGGGGAGAAGACGACCCGGGGCGCAGAGCTTTCTCCAGTCCTGCTCTCCGGGCCCGGCGGGGAGGGGAAGTCACAGCCAATCAGCCCGCAAGGTGCGGACAACACCCCAGGCCGGGCCCGGAGCGCGGAGGTCCGATTGGCTGGGAGGACTCACGGCTGGAGGAGGCGAGGGGTGGACGTGGCGGGCGCGGCTGGAGGGGGGGGGGGGGGGCAATCCCCCGGGCTTGCAGACAAAGGAGCCGCTTTGTGCTGGTGGGCGGCTGCCGGGCCGGTGGGGGGCACGGAGGAGGAGATGCTGAGCTGGAACGGAGCGTACCTGAGCCCACTTGCTGTAGGGGAGGTCACTCAAAGGTCCAGAAATGGAAAGTGCTCAGAGATCCATCTAGTCTGCTCAGAGAACAGGTTTATCGAGGGCTTTAAGGTTTGCTTTTAAAATGTTGGACTCATTCCAACCCTGAGTTGTAGGCGGAGTAAGCAACCTCATTCCCATTGTATGGAAGAGGAAACTGAAACTCAAAAAGCTTAAGAGATTTGGCCAACTTGACATAACTAGTAAAGTGTTGGGAGCAGGGGTGGAGGTTGGGGGGGGAGAGGGTTGAGACAGAGAGGTACATGATGGGGGAAACTGAGCCAGGAGAATCCCTTCTCAGACCGAGGCTAAAATTGACCTCTCAGCTTTTCCCAATGCTGACTTCCCACCAATATCACATTCTGTCTTGAGTAGCTTGTGGCAATTCTCAGATGGTGGATTATTGATTTATCAGTGGATTATTATGATCCACTAGACAATTCAAAATAAAATCATGAGCTTTTTTTTTACCTCAAACAGCAAGTTTCACTAATCACAGTTTAGGAAGAATTTTTCCATGATTTACCTCTCAAACTTAATTTGTCATGGTGTAAAAAGTCAATCATTAGAGATTTCTATACACTTGCAAATTCTCAGCAAGCCATAACCCAAACAAGCTTTTTGGCTAGTTTACCCATTAAAATAACCAACAATAGCCAAATTATCCTAGCGGTAACCAAATTATGAAAAGTTGCTTGACATAACTGATACAAAAACTTAACCAATTTGAAACTTGAAACAAACCCATTACCAGTCAGGTGACTTCCAATTGGTAAATTCATTTCCAAAATTACTTTACACAGAGAATCAACATCTCATCATTAACAGTTAAAACTACAAATTTAAAAGAGCGTGCTTACGTAAATTCGGAGGCTAGCTTCATTACCCTGATCAGGAAGTGCTGACCCTGGGTGATGCTTCCAGGCAAAGGTTGCCCTAGGGCCCAAGGCCATTGCCAGGGGGGCCCATGATGTAGCTGCTGCCCCTCCTCCCTCCTTCCTTTCCCAGGTGGGGGAGGGTAAAATCAAAGGTGAGGGATAAAGGGATGAAACTCTTCTCCTATGAGAGGGGTTAGCAGATACCCTCTTGACTCAAGTGAAGGGAGTGGGAGAAAAGAGTGACCAGGGTTTTAAGGAAGAGTTTCAAAACTCCTTAATGATCAATCACAAAACCTCCAGAATCTGCCAAGATATTTTTAGCTGTTGTAACTTTTCCTTGTAACTTCCATGAAGGAGGATTCAGAGGTGTAGAGGGGAGTAAGTGAGCCTCAGGGAACCAAAAAGCAACTGTAGTTTTCCCCAATTCCCTAGCGCTGAGAGAATTTACAGAATTGGGCGTACACCTCCGGATAAGGCATCTGCCCATGTCCTCTGTGCTGCGGAAGGTGTACCCAGGTTCATGGCCTCAAACCGACCCAGTGGACCGAGAGCCTGAGAGCGTCAGGCTGAGTGCTAGACAGCCTTGTAACTGTCTGCCAGAAAAGCACCTCCAAGCCTTAGCGCTTGGAGAGCGACCCCAACTGCAGAGCAAGAAAGGAGGGTGGGGAAGCTTACATACCTTCCAGTCTTGGCTGGAGAACTTGGGGTTAGGCAGTTTCCCCGCACGAGCCACCAAAATGACGAGGTTTAGGGGTGCTGGGACCCCAAAATCACAACATGCGGGTCCTACCTGAAAGAATTCGACCAACCCTTCTTTGAGCCAAAGACAAGGTTTATTAAAACATCTGTCATATTGGGCAGACTCTTAAGGAATCTGAACATTACTAAACTATTGGCTAGATTATAAGAATCTGAGCAGTGGCTAGGTGTTAGGAACCTGAGCACCTTAATGGAGACAAGATGGACCTTATATACAGAAAGACTGTGGGAGGGATCTAGGAGTGGCCAAGAAGTTGGGATGACTGGAGGAGTGGCCAGTAAACTGGGGTGAATAGAACACCTGGGACCTGGACCACATGGCCAGGGGAGAATGGAGCCTAGCTAGGATTAAGAGTGGGAAATAATGGGGGGGAGGGAAGGGGGGTTCCATTGGGAGGTAAGACAATGGAGGCCTAGGCTAGGTTAAGCCTAACAGAAATGGGAGATTGGGTGTAGCCACAATGAAAGGCCAGTTGATGGGATTATAGCCTCAGGCAAACACCAGAGATTTGGCCATGTGAGAAAGTCCAGCGTTTTTCCTTTTTGGGATTTGGCTCCCATCCTCATCAAGGGGAGAGAAAGGAACATATACTAGAGATGTTTACAAGTGACTTGGTCCTGGTCTCACACAGCTGGTTAAGGGTAGAACTGAGACAATAGCAGAGGTCTGTTGACTCCCAGTCAAGTGCTCTGTCCCTGGAGCCCAGGCAAATAATTTAACTTTCACCCAAGAGGAAGTTAAATCACAAAATAACAATTAAAAAAGGAGAATGGACTGACAGGAGTGGTGGGAGGGGAGGAGAGATTCAGTGGGCTGGAAGAAGGCCTCTGAGAGGCAGTGGGAGCTGAGTTAGATTCCCCTCTAAGAATGCAGATAGCCTATCCTATTTTTCTTGTATTCATTTCTCAAAATCTATAAAGAGAAAACTGGGCCTGCCAGTTTTCCCCAGGATCAGGATGTTAACTGATTCTCAATGGCTGAGAATGTAATCTGGGGCAAAGTTCCAGCTTTACCTGGTTGTGCCCAAACAAGAACCAGATTTATTTCTTAAGGAAAACTTAATGAGCATAGAGGAAAGCTTTCCAAGGGCTGGGAAGGACCATCTTAGAGAAGAGGAGACAAAGCCTGGAAAGGGGAAGTGACTTGTTCTTGGTCACACCCATCATAACTACTTACATTTGTACACAGTTTTAAACCTCTTTTTGAAGCTTCCTGCCCTCTCCCCACTCCCCAACAACCCTGTGAGATAAATTGAGAGGTGAAATGATTTGTTCATGATCACGCAGCTAGGGAGTGGCATTGGAAACCATGTTGACCTCCTGACTCCAAGTCTGTCACTTTAGCCTCTGTAGCATCCAGCTGTCATTCCACCATACTCCCTGAAAGATCCATTGAATCTGAATAACCACTGTAGGAGGCAGCCATCTGACTGCCATTTTGTGGCTGAGGAAACGCCTGAGGGTATTTCTTGGGCGTTAGGAAAACTAGAATTTATTTAAAAAAAAAAAAGGTGAGCAGAGGGGTTTTCCTCTTAGAATCATGGCTTCATGGAGCTAAAATATCTGGGACAAGTCAATCAGAGAAAAGCCAGGGAAGAATTCAGGACTGTTTGCTGTGCCTGGGGCCTTAGGACCAGAGAAAAAAGCTACTCCTGGAATCCCAGAGCACAGCCCTTTTCTAAGCTGCGCAGGCGTGACTGACTGCTTAAACTCGCCAAGATGGTTTTCTTTATGCTGAAAGTGAAAGTTAATCCTGGATTGCAAAATTATTCTTGCTCCAGGGAGGAAGACTTGGGTCCAGCCCTAAGAATCGCCCTAGGATATAGTGAATCTGGGTGATTGGCACTGGCCCAACTCTTAACTCCCATCTCCCACCCTCAAGTCCTCTTCCCTACAATTTAGAGCTAGGCTAACTAGAGATGCCTCACAGCTCAATAAAAGCTTGTTGATATGGTAGTTTCAGAATCTGGGCCCTGAAGCAACTGCCACTCCCTACTTTCCTTTTTTCTAGACAAGAATATCCTGTTCTGGGGAGTGGCTGAGAAAATCAGTTCATAGGATAATAAATTTCCAGCTGGAAAGGACCAATTCAGTTAAACAAATATTTATCAAAACTTATAGATAGAGGAACAATTTATGAAAAAACAATAGAGAGCAATATGAGATATAAAAGGGATAATCTAGATTACATTAAATTAGAAAGGGTTTGTACAAATAAGACAAATGTGGCCAAGATCAGAAGGAAAGCAGAAAATGGGGGGGCGGAATTTATAGACAGTTTGTCAGATAAAGGTCTCGTATCTCAAATATATAAAGAACTTTGTCAAATCTGTAAGAATACAAGTCATTCTTTAAAGGAGAACAGTCAGTTTATCAATGAAAAAATGAAAACAATTTATAGTCATATGAAAAAATGCTCTAAATCATTATCGATTAGGGAAATGCAAGTTAAAACAACCTTGAAATATCATTTTATACCTATCAGATTGGCTAAAATGATTGAAAGAGAAAACAATAAATGTTGGAGGGGATGTGGAAAAATTGGGACACTAATTCGCTGTTGGTAGAATTGTAAACTGATCCAACCATTTTGGAGAGCAATCTGGTTTTAGACCCAAAGAGTTACTAAATTGCCTATACTCTCTGACCTAGCAATAACACCACTAGGTCTGTTTCCCAAGATGATTAGGGTAAAGGGAAAAGAACCTCTGTGTTCTAAAATATTTATAGCAGTTCTCTTTGTGGTGTCAAAGAACTGGAAATTTCAGGGATGCCCATCAATTGGGGAATGGCTGATCATGATGGAATACTACTGACAAATATATAATATTTAATATATTATTTACATAATACATAGGAAATGATGAACTCAATGATTTTATAAAAACGTGGATAGACTTACATGAAATAATGGAAAGTAAAATGAGCAGAACCAAGAGAATGTTGTATACAGTAACAGCAATGTTGTTTTAAGAAAAACTTTGTCATTTTGTCATTAGAAAAACTAAGTCATTTTGACTATTATAAATACCCAAATTAACTACAAACAACCTTTGAAGAAAGATACTATCTGAATCCAGAGAAAGAACTGATAAGTAGAAGTATATACAGAATGATTTTACATATATATAAATACACATAACACACATTTGTGTGTATATATATATGTATAATATGTGTCTAATAGTAGTTATCTCTAGGGTCAGGGGTAGGGGGAGTGGGAAGAAGAAAAAAAAAGAAAGTTACATGATAAATTTATTATGTATTTAAAAGAAATAGCAAGTTGTACATAATAAATTTGCAGTTTCATGTGCAATCATCTTTTTCTATTCTCCTATGTTATGGAAATGCTTGTTTTATTTCTTAGGTTCAGAATAGAATAAATTAAAATGAAAATGAAAACATTTATCAAGCACCTACT